CTCTCTCTCTCTCTCTCTCTCTCTCAGTCGGTGCTCTCCCACCTGACTCAACGACTGAATGACTCCATCAATGGATCACTTCATCATTTTATACTTAAACACAAACGCGACGAACACTTAGCGAAAAGTGAACCGAATTAAAGTGATGGCACGTCAATAATGGCTGAGCCATACATTCATGAGTTAGACTAAAGCACTGGTAAGCAATGGAAGTACCTTTTTATAGCACTTCTCAATCATTCTTCCAATACGACCGAACCATCGGATCTGTTCACCACTCCATTGGGAAATGAAAATGAAACCAAAGAATAGATATACCGGAGTAGAGGACACTGGAGGGCATCCGTATTATGGACTAACCTTATCAATGACTCTTTCAACTTATTTACCAGTCATTTATCACATCATATAATGGATATAACTCTATAACTCTATTTAGAGCATCACTCACTTTAATACTGTAATCTATACTCAATAACTATAAGAAATATTACACAAAAAGGTTTTAGATTTTAAAACAAAATCTTTAGACAAAGAAAACAGAAAATTTTCATAAAATAATAGACTTAACAATTTTCAAAGTCTTAACGAAAGTTTTAATTTGGCTTTAAGAGAGAGAGAGAGAGAGAGAGAGAGAGAGAGAGAGAGAGAGAGAGAGAGAGAGAGAGAGAGAGNAGAGAGAGAGAGAGAGAGAGAGAGAGAGAGAGAGAGAGAGAGAGAGAGAGAGATGTGATAGTAGTAGTGATTAGAATTGGTGTGCATTTGAAGAGTTTTGTTCGTAAACAAAGTTGGCATAAGTTGTACCGAAAATCACTGTAAGCCTAACAATACGACACTTGAGTTGTCTCTCGTTAGACGTATTGGCAATACATCGCCAACACTATTGCAAATGGTCTACAATTCTGTAATACTCGTGTTGGAACTGTAGGGCACTGTAAGTATATATACACGTATATACAGTAGTAGTGAATGTATTGGCAATATATATATTATATCAATGTTTCCCCCACTCTCTGAAATGCATTGAGGAATAGTAGGAATACTGTGTATGTTATGGCTGTTAATGCATTTTCTATGTTCTAGTGCTCAGTTGGACACGTTGTCTCATATGGAAGCCCTGCTCTCGTGGGTTTCGAGCTTAACATGGATTTTCACTATAGGTTAGGGCATCTCTTTCTAATATTTTTACTTGTTTTTGGCTCAATGTTTAGAGGTTTAGGTAATTTTGAGAACTGTCGACATGTGTTGAATGTCGTCGTCGATACTACTCTAACATTTGCTTTTGAGTACTAAAACTAGAAACTAGTCGTCAAAGACATATAACAAGCAAAATAGCATTTCTCACATATTCGCACCTAAAACACACTCTACTCTACACTACACCTAATGCTGACTCGCAATCAGACAAAAAAGTTTTTCTCTTTCTCTAATGCCTTCACTACACGTCTCTATACATAGTGTTTGAATCGTTACAAACATNTCTCTAATGCCTTCACTACACGTCTCTATACATAGTGTTTGAATCGTTACAAACATTACAAACCTATTACTCTATTGCTATCACTATTGCATGTCGTGTTTAAATCACATCTAAAATATTTGCTACAAAATCACATTCAACTCAAATTCATCCATCATTTCATTTGCTTTACATTATATAAGAACTCAATCTTTTACTCTTATAACACGATTATATACAAAAATATTGTAGACTTAACTATTTGGTAAAAACTTTTATTTTAAATGATTTTAATCATAATAATAATTCAAAACTCTCACCAAATGTCAACGAATAAGAATCATATAATATAATATACATAATGTATTATTGTATTTAAAATTTAAATTAATTTTAATGATATTCTACTGCAAACTATAGCAAAGCATACTTCCATAGCCTTACCTGTTATATATGGTAAGTAATGCACGAAAGTATACTTTCATAGGACACCACATTTAATGTAGAGGAGAACCAGAATTGAACGGAAAGAGCATTAATTAGTATTACTCTGGAGTAAAACCACCGAAACTGATATAAAAATAGAGAGCAATGGTATGAGTTGTTTGTATTATCTATAGATGTAATAGAAGTGCAATCAATCTTATAGTGTTTATCAGATCAAAATGTCACATAAAAGCCAACAAAGCGAATGATGAAACTGTATTACACTATTGTATAGGCATTAGCCTATTATTATGAGTACGTGTAATGTAATACTGTTCCACTTAGGAGTCAGAGAGAGAGAGAGAGAGAGATTTCCGGTGGTATACTATAAGGGGCGCCGAAACGACTGAATTCTTGTGTTATTTCTTTGACTTTTAATTTTCAATTTCTATTGTGTTTTGCAATGAAAATGAAAATCGCATTTAAATAAACGCAAGCTTTTAAGTTCAGCTCCAGTGAAGTCACACATACCATATCTTACCTAACGATCCTAATCAGTAAGTCTATACCCCCATCACACCCCTCCCCCTAATATCACCGGTATGTCTCTGTATTAATATAATGTACACATTAATTAGACACTGATTTATCTACTGGCGAAAAACCACTGAATATAATATACAGTATATGTTTTAATTTTAAAAAAGTTTTGTATTAAACATTGTATTAAAGTACTGGAATAAAATTTATAGCGTATTCTATGTTGGTAAAATATACATGTTCATATCTGCATGACTATTTACAATATAATATTGTCAATAAAATATATGCCATAAATCCCGGTGCCGCTGGCGAATGGCCTTAAGTGCAAACAAACAAAAAACATACACACAATTGCATTCATTCAATGCATGAATTAAATTAGAAAATGTAAAACTAAAATAATAATAAATAAATGAGTTTTAATATTATATTTATTAGTTTTATATACAGAAAAACCCAAATAAAATAGTTTTATCACTGGATATGGTGTTGAATATTAATACATAGACCGTATACTAGAGTAGAAATTGTCTGCTTTTTGTAATATTCATGATATAATACGTTAGAGAGAGAGAGAGAGAGAGAGAGAGAGATTGGTGTTGGTTATTTTAAATTGTTAAGAGGGTTAAGTACTGACGGATCAGATACTCCCGGGTTATGACAGAGAGATAACGGTCCGCTCCCAACACCTCAATCCCTTTCAGACATACATTTCTTTGGTTATGGATTTAATACATGATATGAATGGTTAACACATTAAATGTTAACCATGTTTTAAATTATAACAACTAAATAAGATAATTATATTTTTGCTTATTTGTTAGAATAATTATTATAATTATTTTAGTGATGGTTTTGTTTGTTTAGAGAGAGAGAGAGAGAGAGAGAATTTGATAGTAAATACTTTATTACTTTAATAATAATAATGGCATTAATTCACAACAAAATTGTAAATAAAATTTCATTGAAAAACGAAAATGTTTTGTGAGAAAAATCATAAATCATTTAATATAATGGTATTTAATCAAAATTAAACACAATTCAATTCAAAATTAAATACCATGTCTCACACTTTATAGCCCATCACCAAATATCCACCACCCCTTTCACTCTGCCCTCATTGCATACAAAATTGAACTAGATTTATTTTACTTTATTTGACAAAAATTTTACGTGATAATTTACAACAAAAAATTTAACCATGTAAACTAAATGATATATATTTTTCATTTTATGCCAAAACTAACCATAATGTTTTGCATCCCCATCCCCTCCCACTACACAGACAAACAATATATACCCCGTGTTATGAAGTAATATGTGATAACATTTATTATACACACAAACACTTAAATTGTTTTGTTTGTCATTTAAAATGATAAGAAATGAATTATTTATTTAATATAATGTTTTTTGTTATAAAATTTTGCTTATATTTAAAGGGGATTTAGTTTACGGATTGTTTAAGAGAGAGAGAGAGAAGACTATCGGTGCCTCCGGTCGACGAACAACAGGGAGAGTCTGCCGTCGAGTTGTTTGAGTTGGAAGTCATTAATGAGAGCTATGGTTGGGAACAGACAGTTGTGGTCAATAGTGGTCACAATTAGGGGACACTTCTTATAATTTGTAAATACAGTGACAATCAGTGCAACGATTTAATCAATGGTAAACTAAAGAGTAAAGCAGACATCTGGAGCTCTCAATGTTATTACTATTAAATTTCATTGCATTTTATTCGAGGCAAACAGTGAGTGCGAGAGAGAGAGAGAGAGAGAGAGAGAGAGGCGATAGTATTGTGAATGAAGAGTTAAGAAGAGAAATCTGATGTCTGTTTCATTAGCGATGAATTTGAATGATATAAACCCTAAATGGCATAAAAGGCACAACAAATGCAATATAGTGTTAGGGTTTACCGAAACCATTGAAACCATTTATTCTAATTACCAGAAAACTCGCGATGACTTGAAAATACTTTAACAGACGAGTGAAATACACATTACGAATAGCATTGCAAAAGAGAAAGCCATTAGTTTTTTTTATTCTGGAGTGCACTCAACCACTATATCACTCCATCTCCACCGCTATATCTATGCGTATAAAATGAGTGCAACACTAATGTTGCGATACATTAGTAATGTCTAAATTCTTAAACAGATTCTGCAAACCCTTACCCAACAGCCAAAGAGGCTATTGTAGAGAAAAGTCATTCCGAGCACATCCATAATGGACACCAATCTAAGCCTATTCTATCGCATCAAATAAATAACAATCCCAGAGCGCAGTTGGCTGTAAGCCATCATCATATTAAACACGATTCAGCGCCAAATATGTTGGACAATATGACTAGCATTGAAACCATAGGTCAAAGGTATGGCAATCAAAACAATACCCAAAACACAACACAAAAAGTCATTTTTATCTCATTATCTAATCGCTAGACCAAAGATTTGGTCGTTGGCCCAAACGGCCACTTCTCACAGCCCACCTTATAATGGCAAAGTGGGTGCGGGTCCGCTCACCCCTACAGACTGGGCACCGACATTGCCTCCGGGCCCGGATGCGCCCATTGCCCCCATTGCGCCCCTTTCGCTATCTGATTATCAGAGAGATTGTCCGCAGGGGTCGAGATTCGCGACAAACAATTTGCGTAAATGTGGACAGACGTGGCCCGAAGACCACTACATCACTAACATAGGCACCGCTCGATCCGCTGCCATACAGTTGTTTAGCTCAGACCCTATAGCGTCTCACAATTATTTTAATACTCAACCGAAGACGGCTATGAGTGGCCCCTTTGTGGGCAATGGCGGTCATCCACATCCACTTCAATTGTCTACACCTGTCCCTCATTTAGTTCACACAAACGTCGACCCGTTTGGCGGCTCTTATAACGGCATTCGTCCGATCATTGATTCGCAATCATCTCATAATATGACAGATATTAATGAAAATCGTTTGCCCAACGGATCCGTTTCCAAATCAAATACATTTCTGTGTAAAGTGTTTCCTGACTACATATCTTCAGGACCCGACGCTCTGTCCCTCAACGACAACAACAGCGAGAGGGGAGGCTCCACACTAAGCGTCGAGGAATCGTCTCTCTCGTCCTCTTCGTCGCCAAATCTTGATTCACAAAATCTGAACGTAAGACATATTAATGGATCAAATTCTTTAGGCTTTTCAGTCTTCAGACCGATGTTGAAGAGATAGTGAAGCCTTCAATTGCTATCAACAAAAACACGACTTTTGACTTTAAGTTTGGCTTCCGATTAGAGTCCCATTGAATATAACTATTGGACACAAAATTCTATCAATTATTACACTTTTGAAATTTTCAAACAAAAAATGCTAACTTTTGCTGACATTTTCTCGACTCTATTCCTGATTAATAATATTTTCTATTTATGAAACTATAATGTAATTGATTTCTATAATAACTATTGCATAACAAGTGTTCATAAAACAAATACTTAAAATATATGTTAATTTGTTTGTTATTCATAGCATTTTGGCTATACTTTATTTTTATTTTATTTTATGTAGAATTTTGTAAATAATGTCAAAATATATTAAATTATTGTAAATTATAAAAATAATGTAAATTAAGTTTTTAAGTATAATATAATAGTAGAAATGGAAATCATTTAACATTTTATCAAAAAATATTCCATGTAAAAATAAAATTTTAAAAGCATACAAAATATTAATTTTAATCAAAATTAATGGATTTAAAAATATATCAAAAAATAAAATAAAACAAATAATAAGTAAATGTTTTGTTAAAAGATAATGTAATAAAAAGTGCGATTAATATTCTGTATATTGATATCGACTTTATATGTATATTAAGTTTGTTCAGCGATTTTTATTACAAAACTTATTTACAAATATATTTTGTGCAAAACTCGACTAAAGTAGTGATAGATTGGGTTTCACTTCACAACCAGACTATTGTCTATATATGAGTTGTGAGGGATTTATTGTCAGATAGTATGTAAATATGTGTATAGTTTTGGTCGATTGTGCATCAAATGCAATGCAATGCCATTTCAATATCATGCAAATTAAGTGCTGTATTGTTAAGTGTTATGCTATGAGTACCACCAGTGCTATCACTACTATTACCAGTGCTTACCATAAGTTTTGTTTAGCAAAGGAAGTGACACAGAATTTTGTTAAACAATATATTCGTTCAGTTATGACAAGAATATTACTCAAAGCATACTATTAGAGAGAAAGAGCTGATCCAATGCCTACTCAAATCAAACCACTTGTTCTGATGTTCACTGAGAAGAGTATAATGATATTGAAGTCGTGAAGTGAGAAGTGATCTATGAATGCATCATTTTAGCCATATTTTTGGTCCATAACTTATTTCTAATATTTTCTCAATATTAATGTTATGCCAATCTCTGCGTGAAAAGAGTTTTCTGCCTTTCATTCCCAGATGTGCTTTCAAAATGTGCCGTATATTCCACTTTCAGGGATAACTATTTCCCGACCACTCCTTATATTCCGCTTATATTCTTATTTTCCACTTTTATTTATGAATACGAATACAGGCTTTGCGTCCAAAAAGATACCATATATGCAGGGGTTCTCTCATTCACTGGCATTCAGTGTGCCTTTCGCTGGCACTCAAATGCTCACCAGTACTACAAATAAGACATTCAACTAAAAATGTGAACTAAACGGACCAGAAATTCAAATGACGAGAATAGCCTTACGATAGTATAGATCGAGTTTTGACACCAAATATACGACAATTCTTAGTGCAGGTGCTTTCAGCTCACAGAGCCGTTCAATTGGCTTGAATTGGCTTTTTGGACAATTCTCTCACTCTATTGATAACTACTTACTAAATAGAGAGCCAAAAGAAATGCACTGAATATAGCTGTATAGCTGTCCTGAACGCCATTCACTGAACATCTATTGTCAAACGTGATCGCATCCAATGCACCACATCGTTGGGCCTGACATCTCAATGACTGACACATTGGGTGGCATTTCCATCAATTGGATCAGCTATCAGATTATTATCATCTCATTTCAAACACTCGTCCAATTGTTTTATTCAATTTGCTTACAATAAACATAAAAGTCTCAATAAAATATGTTATACAATAATATCAGAGATTTTAATTAAATGTATAATAAATTCTAGATATGAATCACAAACGATATGAATGTCGAGAATGAATGCGGAGATGGTTTGACGCGTGCCGTCAAATCTATAGCCATGTAATTCATTGTGGTTTTAGTGGATATGATATGTTGGGCGCACAGAACGAGAGCCACAGTCAGTGCATCGAGAAAGTGATGCTCGCGTTCGCTATTATTGTATATTAGCTGTTATGAGACTATGTGTGCACCGATAGAGCGGTGTTTGTTGCGAAACAGTGGGAGATTCACAGCTTCAATATGGTTGTGATAGAGTATTGGCACCGTTGCCACCGTTGGCACAGCCAGTGTCGATATCGGGCGCTCATATTTCATTAAATGGGCGGTTGGCAGCCCTGGCAGCTGACGCATCCCTTCGCATACAAGTCCTTTCATAACATGTGACTTTCAATTGCAATCGGCATTCAGTCAGTCAATACTGGCTCTGAGCCTCCACTCTCTATCCGCCGCAATCGTCGGCCTCTAACTGTGTGTTCATCTCATTCCCCATCATTTGATAACTTTTCTCACTATTCTCTCCACTAATACCCGAAACTCACTCTCACTTCTGATGTGACAGTTATTAAAAGGCGATATATCTGTAGTGAGACTTCTGGCCATACATCAGAGGCACACGTCTGACCGTCATATGCACTCTACTCCCAATTTTTCTATGCTTACAGACCTATGCATTAGGGATAGCACTGGCAGTTGTTTGTGAGCTAATTGTTACCACATTTTCTCCCTTCAAATAATAATAATAACCTAATCATTAATGAACCAAATGTACGCAGAATGCCATTCAATTGGCTTTTCCACTACGTTATGATATTCTCTCTCTCTCTCTCTCTCTCTCTCTCTCTCTCTCTCTCTAGTGCTCAGTTGGACACGTTGTCTCATATGGAAGCCCTGCTCTCGTGGGTTTCGA